AAACAAAATAATAGGAATTTCACAATCATTGCTGTATCACATGTTATCTTCAAATCAACTTAGACTACCAGACATAAACATGCAAAATTGGTCTAAAAAATAAAAGGCAGAATTAAAAAAGAAAAAAAAAAAAAAAGAAAAAATTAAAGCATTAACTGCTCCTTTCAATAGATCAGCAGAAATCATCAATAGTTATCCGAGCTATTCTGCATATGTACACAAATATATCTTTTTCCTTTCTTTCTTTTGTCCTTTTCCTCATCCCAGTTTTTCCTTCCATCGGGTGTTCTTGATCCCACTGTAGTCTGTTAATTTTCTCGAATTTTAATAAATATCACTGTGAAACTCAATTATACTATATTTAGAAGTCTATGAGGCATCTATTCTTAAAATTAGCCAACTCACACTCAACATGTCCAGATCTTCCTGTGTAGATTTCACTGTTTGAAAAACTGCATGTGTATGAGGAGTTGGAAAATCAAGAGTGTCCCTTAACTCAGTGAAATGGGACTAGCAACCACTTTACAAGTTAACTGCATTATTGAAACAAATACTCCCCCATAACACATTTGAAGTAGATCAAACCTAATGTAACATATACCCCTCTACCTCAAATCAAGGAAGGACTGTATTCAAAGTGTGATCAAATAACAAAACAATATTTACTCAAATAATAAAAGTATGTTTTTAGTGTAAATAATTTAAAATATATCAAGTCCCACAATATGTATAGGCAGACAGTAAAAACAACTTCTTGTGAAAAAAAACAGATTTTAACACTTAATGTCTTTTTCATTTTTTCAGCTGATCAAATTTATCAAAATTTAGTTCGACCTAAAAATCAAGGTTAGGGTCCAGGGAGATAGCTCAGTAGAATAAGCACTTGCCTGGCAAGCGCAGGGTCCTGAGTTCAATCCCCAGTATTGCAAAAAAAAAAAAAAGTCAAGGCTTCAAACAAACAAATAATAAAAAATAAACATTTGGGGACCATCCTTAACTTTATTATTTGAAAAAAAAATGCATTTTAATTTTTCACAGCAATAGGGTCTGTTTCCTCAGATTAATACCCTTATCTTGCTTACGCGCCACCAGAACACTAAATGTCATACTACATTTATCAACTATACAATGGAATTACAATATATGGTAAGCAGAGAGCTTCATGTTCCCAGATGTTTCATGTAAGAAAAATCTAAAATAAATATTATTTACTTCCTTTTCCTAGGACATAGTTTAAATGTAATAGTTATTGTTCAAAATTTCCTTATTGGGTGCTTGTGGGTTAGCTCAGTTGTTTAAGCGCCTGAGAGGGCAAACCTTGTCAGGCACAGGGGACTGCGGTTCCAACCCCACCCCAAGTGCCTTATCAGACCGGCACTTAAATCAGCCTGAACCAGCCAAAAAAAAGACCCTTCTCAAAATTGCCTTATTAAGCAGTTTCTTTCCTTTTACGAAGTCTATTGTACCTTTTGATTCTTATTTACTCTTTCAGTTTCTTACACTAGGGAGACAATAGGATGTTCACACATGCAAGTCTGATTTATTTCACTTAGGATTATTGTATCTAGTTGCACCTATTTACCTATAAAAGCCTTGAGTTTATCTTTTTTTATAGCTGAGTAATACTCCATTGTATAAAAGTAGCATATCTTTTTTAGGCATTCCTCAGTTGAAGGGCATTTGGGTTGTTTCCAAGACTTAGCTATTACTTTTTTTTGTTCTCCCCTGCGGAGCCGGGGATTGAACTCAGGCCCTTGCGCTTGCCAGGCAAGCACTTATTCAACTGAGCTATCTCCCCAGCCCCAAGCTATTACTTTTGAGAGTCAAACAAATTTTACTTTCTCTACAACAGCCATTTCAGTTCTACAATCAAAAACTATTTTCCTGTAAGAATGTAAACATTATCAGAAATTAGATTTTTTTTACTGCTACTAAAATAAAGTTTTTCATGTGTTACAGTTTCATCTCTATCAAGAGTATATACTCAAGGATATATACTAAGCTCTTGGATCCCTCCCTATAAACCTAAACTGATCACAATGTTACAGCAAATGTCAATGTAAAACTACTAGCTACCAAAAATATTCAAGTTATGGTAGTAGGCAAAAAAAATTTTTGATTAAATTTCCATATAAATTAATAATTTTGAAACAATTGGAAGGTTATGGGCGATAAAAAATATATTTAACAATATCAATAATCCAGACAATGGAAAACCAAACAATAATGGAAGATCTGATTCAGTTACAAGAGTGAACCTAATAAATTTTACAAACAATCTGTTGATATTTTCTCAGCAGACAGAAAAAGCACTAAACCTAACATCAAACTCACTGCAAGGAACTACTTTACACAACTGAAGAGATGGGAACTCTGAAAGGAAGCAATTTTTGCATTGATGATACTAAAGAAAGGAACACTGAATATAGTGAGACATGATGTGCCCTCACAGAGTTCTGGGAAGCTAGCATGTGGCAACTTCTGTAATCTCAGCACTCTGGAAGGCTGAGACGAGAACAGCAAGCTTGAGCCCATTCTGGACATCTTAGTGAGACACTCTCAAAATAAAAGATAAAAACAAAAGGGCTGGGAATGTAGCTCAGTGCAAAGGTTAGGATTCCATCCACAGCACAGAAAAAAAAAAAAGAAAAAAAAAAGATAGGTAAGATAGAGAGAGAATGTTTGAAAGCAGAAGATGATTGAAGAAATTTCCAGGCTTGCAAGCGAAATTATCATATTCAATCATAACTGTCATCAAATTAAGTACAAAAGAGCTAACAGTTATGATAAAGGCTTGAAAGTGAGTGGTACAGTGAAAGAACCAAGCAACTAAGTAAGACTAGAGAGCGTATGGAGTTTGTCAGGTAAGAATCAGAAATTTAGAGATCTTTTTTTAAAACAACTCTGTAAGGCCACGGATATAACTCAGTGGCACAAGTTCCTGCTTGGTAAGTGCAAGGTCCTGGGTTTGATTTCCCATACAAAAAGAAAAAAAGATTTTAAACAACTATGTAACTACTTTGTTACATTTCTGACATTTTATAGTCTTAAAGGCCAGCAATAAGAAAATCTCTGCCTGAAAAGGATTATCTTCTATATTAATTATGAAAGTTACACCTATGGAGAAAACTTTTAAGAGAGAAATGTAGTTAGGGTTTATCTTGATAGAAAATGCACTCTTTGTACTTCTGTAACATTTACAATTAACAATGTTAAGTCACTGGTATCATTCAAAAGGAGAGATAAAAAAAAAAATCAACTAGGCTACCTTCTAAAAACCAAGCATTAACATTCGTTAGTAAATTCCACCTGGTCTTATATCAAGAGACTAAAATATTTTAGCATCAGTTGAAAAAAAAAAAAAAATCTAAGATGCCTCCCAAAAGGAGGATACTGAGAGTTCTATAGATCAGCCTCAATAGTAAGATTTCAAACTATTAAAAAATGCTTATAAATAAATGATGAATAGGGCAAATGACTGCTTTATGTTGCTAAAAATGATTACAAAAAGGTTAAAAAAAAAAACAAACTAAATTTCTTACTAATGCATGGGAAAAAAACATGCATGCTGGTAGGATCATGAGACTGACTACAGGCAGAAGCTGCAAGCCCTGTACCTAAGCTTTGCTGAAATTTTGGACACTACTGATGTTAAGGCACTGAAATTGAATTATATTGATTTTATTATAACAATTTTTGTGCAGCAGAAATCCCACTCACTGGTCTTACATGCATCTGACTTTTATTCAGAGAACAGCAATATTTTCTATTTTCTCTCTTGATTTTGAATCAAAAAAACTACTGTGGGGGGCCGGGGAGATGGCTCAGTGGAATAAGCGCTTCCCTGGCGAGCGTAAGGGCATGAGTTCAATCCTCGGTTCCG